GGCTACGTAAAAGTTGGTGAAAGTCTATAAAGATCCTTTAAATTATCTGGTCAGAATTATCCATAAGAACTCACATTGAATGCGTTCTCACAAACTGGAGGTAAGATACAAACAGGAGCACTTTGAGTAGGCCAAACACCAGCTGTCAGTACACGTACTGAGATGTCGATCACATTTTCACCGGGTAAGGCCTGAAAACTCCAATCCATATTTAAAACTCATCATGAACCACTGGTGTATTTTTGGGACAAATTCTCTACGAGTATTAAAAGTATCTAAAGATGTTTACAAATTTAACTTCAACTCGTGTGAGATAAATGCGTCAGTTCTACAACTTACCTCTTTAACTTCTCTGAAAGCAGCAGCGTGAGTAGACCATAGCTCTTTGTCGCGGTACATATTCTCGAGTCTCAGAGTGAACTGATAGCCGCATTCCGTCTGAAACACACGATACGGCACATACAAAAACAACAGACAATGCAAATGCAATCGCTCATTACCTTGAGCTTGCTAATCATCATCCTCTCCAAATCATCCGAGAGACTTCTATCGAGCAACAGTCGTCTTGCCATATGCTGCTTGTAATACCTATTCCAATAGATTGCAAAGAGCAGAACAAGCGAGAGGAAAGACCAACTTTTCAAAAACATCTTTCTCTTGAAGAAAGCGGAACAAAATCATTGCTCTGTCCAACAGTTTTTCGACATTCTCTTCTTCCTAAAAAATCACCATAAACCGAAAGTTCACCTTCGCCACTTACAAGGAAAGGAAAAGTCGAAGTGGCATTTATATGAAATGTATGCTGTATAGGGCATTAAGCGTTGGTCCGAATTTTGCCTGCTGTCAGCAAAGTGCTTCTGTGAAAAGGGTATGAAAATTTTTTGAAGTAGAAATTCAAGGGTGTGACTGTGGTAAAACAAGGTGTTGAGGTCTTTCCTGCGTTCAAAGAAGTAATGACCACTCTACAATTGTGAACGATTTTATTGTAGCCGCTTTCAAATTCAAATTTTTACTTGAAAATTTCCGTAACTCACCTCTTAAAAGCGCTTTGCAGACACCAAAAACACATTTGAGATCATTTCATGCTCTATAAGATAATGTTCTTTTTTGTATGGAAACGCCATTTCGACCAAGTATCCTTCCCTTGTTA